GGGACTCTAGGCAAAGAAGTTGAAGGGAAAGATATATAGATTCTTTGCTCTAAACATCACTTACAAGGACCAAAGACGTTTACGGAGTACTTTGTAATAAAATTACATGTTGGGTTGGCAGAGGGACAGGGTCCTTTGACTTTTTCAGTGACGCTTGGAGTCCCTCTATTGTCCTCTTCCTGATCTTATCTTTAGGGTCGTGTTCGGCTGTACTTGGTTTACTTTTAAAACTGTTTGCTCCATTAAAAGGTTTCGAGTAATTAATTATAAATATTATTAAAAGAGGTTTTAAACCTGGCTTTAAAACTATTAATGTTGCATCAAAATTTGACAACATTTCAAATACAATTCAGTGCCACTCTTGAATTTGCTGCCCTCAGAAGTTGCCGCCCGGGGCACAGACCCCGGCTTTTCCCCTCTAGATCCGGGATCGTCTACGGGGACATGAAAGGTTAGAGAAGTCGCCCCATAAATCATGGTGGTATGCGGAGCGTAGTTGTAAATATATATTATGATTAAGATTTGAGAGAACTTATGAAATTTTTGAGTTAAAAGTCTTCTTGAGAGGATGGGGATAGGGGAATTAGGATATGAGGCTTAGGTTTCCGTTACAGCGGGTGTTCTCGATCAAAGTTGGGAGAGACGAGGGAACCTGTGAAAGTCATACTGTTACCTGTAAGGTGCCCAAGGTCTTGGCCAACGAGGCCTTCTATCTTTTGGCCATGATGAATTCTTGAACCTGATCTAAATTATGTTTGGATCACGTGGATAAATAATAACAAAAATAAAGTTTACGGAAACTTTTCTAGCACCAGAGGTGCTCTAGTCCTGATTCTCACTTTTTTGTCTGCAACACTTTTGTGCCCGTATCACTTTTCAAATAAAAGGACGTTGTCAGTGAATGTTATCGCCAAGTATTATTTTTAGAGAAACAATACACCGAATATATGAAAAATGTCTGGGAACACCAATAAAAGAAAGTTGACACCATACGCTATCGCCATATATTAAAGAAATAAATTAGCGAATAATAGACTGGAATTAAAAAATACTGTAGCAATTAACATTCTGTCGGGAATTATAAAGATATGTTGTTTTTTAATATTTTGTGATTCTGATGGTGAATTTTATGCGCCATAAGTGCGAAAAAAGTGATGTTTAATAAATAAAATTTAAAAGACAAAAAGTTCATAATAAAAAAGCAAAAAAGGTAATGCAAGCCATCTTACTAAAATAAATTGAACACTGATACGGTGAATTGAGAAAACACCGGTAAAAAATAGAAGCAATACTTGGGACTCTTATTCGGACTTTAAAAAATATGCTGATTTTAAAAAGTTTGTGATTTTACTGTTGAATTTTATGCAACGTAAGTATGAAGAAAGCGATGTTTAATAATAAATTTTAAGAAAAAAAAAAAAAAAAAAAGAGGTGAGTTAGTAAGAGTCCGGGAGCTGGTGGGTAAACTGGAAGCTTAGGATGATCATAAAAAAACCTTAAAAAACCATCTAGTGTAACATCAAAAATCTAAATTCTTTCAGACTTACTTTATTTTATTTTGTTCTTCTAACAAGTATTAACGCATATAACTCTCGTATTACACGACTTAAGTATCTTTCCCAAATTATACAATCCAATATTAGTGTCTTTTCCAGAATTGAAAGAAATTTGAAGAGGATTTCGGCTTTTGCAAAAGATAACGGCAAGCTAAAATACCATTTCAGAGTTTCTTGTACGCAAAGACCGAAGAAAAGTGTGACCTTTTAAGTATGAATTAGCTCAAAGGTTTAGCTACTTGTTTCACGGGATGTTTTGATTATCTACAAATAGAACAATACAATATAGCAGGAAAAAACTTGCAATCTGGAAAATTCATTTCTTCAACTGAATACGGCAAAACATGCAAGGGCTCAGTTTAAGAGGTGAATAACGTTATCTGGAGGAAATTGATCATATTTGTGTATTACACTGGGGAAATTTCACATAATTATTCATATAGCCAAATTGTTCGCAGGGATACGAATTCGGATCGAAATATCAGCGGTTTTATCCATTCGGTCACTTAGGTGTTTAAGGTATAAAAACCGACTCTCAGTTGACGAAAAATTATTATTTTCTACCACGGACTTAAATTTCCCTACTGTTATAAATGCTCTTAGCATTTCGTAAATGTTTATAAAATTATTAATTATGTATATTATAAAACAATGTTTCCTAAACTTTATGACCTTATAAACATATCGCATATAATTGCGATTCATTGCGACTCACAAATATGCTATGGAAAAAAAGAGGGGGGGGGTAGATTCCTAGAACGAAATATTGTAACACTGGAAAAATGATAAATACACATATATACTCAGTTAACTGAGTAATATAATTATAACAGTTAATTATAAATTAATTCGCTTTTATATGGAGTTATATATAATTTAAATATAAGAAAAAGACTTCGAAAATTTTTTGCGATCCAATAAAAATTGTCTACGGACTCATACTTCAGAAACCACTACTAGAAATTAAAGGAATTCGACGTGCAATGAATCGCATGGAGTTATGTACAGATATTATTTCAAAATAAAACTACGAAATAAATTATTAGAAAGGAAGTGCGTTAGAGATTTGAACTGAAAGATAGTTTAGAAATGTTATACCATTGCGAAAGGCAGCACCCGCTTATTTCCTATTTCCGAGCTCCCTAGGATGCGAATATAATAATAAAAGAAACACCTTATGCTTTGAGAAATGAGAACATTATCTTGTGGATGATAAAGCCCTGGTAGTACATAATACTACCTGGTGTACAATAACATAACGCGATACAGAAAATCTAATGATTAAGCTAAATATTTCTAACGTCAAAAATTAATTCTCGAATATACTATAATGCAGTATTAACAAATTTAGGACTATGAAGGGATTAGACGAAAATACATAATAAACAAGACATTTCCCGTTTTATATATTTAAATGTGAAAGAAGATCTGCACTTACGTCTTGGGCAAGCCATCTAAAGCCAAGGTAACAGACGTGAAAAAGTTTGAAAAATATCTGATATAAATTAAGATCAGTCACTGCTAAATATTCAAAGTGATTAAAGAGACCTTTTAAATCCAAACTCTTTTGAAACCTCGTATCATTCATCGTAATCGAAAATTGATAGATTCATTCAAATTCGTTTACCCAAAATGAAAGCATCGTTTTATCAAAGTTGAAGGTTCAGGTTCTCATCGTATTATTTGTTCATGATGCACTCTACTTAATCACCCTAATTACGTAAGAAGGAGCACTAAAAATAGATAAAGAAACAATGGGCGTCGATACTGAAAAGATCTTGCAGTTCCACAGATCGAAGAAATCTGTCGTCTCCCGAAATCTTTGCACTTTTACCTTTAAAGATAACGCATTGATCGCTGTAGCCTCGTCAATGCGTCATTTTTGAGATGCGCGATAATCATTTGTATTATAACATTCTTCTTCTTTTTTCAAGTATTTTATTCGAGAATTCAACTCATTGAAAAAAAGGAAAAAAAAAAAAAAAAGGTTTTTTACTATTTTTTGAGTTAGAAACGTCTATATTGAAGTTTTGCAAAAATTTGGACCATTATCTTACGCTATGTAACGTTACGCTACTAGACATCTATTCAGGTTACTTGGTAAGTGTCTCCACTGTACCAGAACTTCCCTGGCAAATAGGAAGTTATCAGAATTTTGCCATATGACTTTTTTAAATATTTTTATCTTCCAAACTACAATTGTAACTGTTTTTAAGAGACTGAACGGTTTAAAAGTAGAAATAGTATTTCTTATTTTATTTATGTTTAATAGCATAACTTATTGATACGATTTTTCAAATTTATTTAATTTATAGCAAATATAAATGGTAATTTTGATGAATATTTGTAGCGTTATTGTATTTATTCAAATATATTTCTAATGCTGTCTGTATATTAACGCACATATTATGCATCACTAGCTGTTTTGCTTTTAATTTGTGAAAAACGATTTAGTCTAAAAATTTTTAGGGAAAAAGAATTTAAAGGAAATATAGTATAGAAGTATAGTAGAATAGCCATTAACTTAGGAAATGTGTACCTAATTTGCAAGGAATTATCTCACTATTCCCAGCGCACTCTAATTGTGTAAACTGTTACATACCCAGCTAGCAAGTGGAAGATTCCTAATTCGAATCCGGACGACAGTAACGTTGATTTTTTCTTCTTCTTGTTCCTAAAGTTCTAATAAACTATAATAATATCCTACAATAGGCAGTTGTCTCATGTTATATTATTAGCTATTTTATTTACTTAGAGGTATAGCGACTGAGAAGATTTTAAAATGCGATCAGAAGACCTGCATACAATACTTATACACGGCTTTCATATCTTTCAGTCGTAAAGAAATGTCTTCAACAATAATACTATTTTTCTATTAGCCATTCTTTAAAGCAAATTGCTCTCCACCTAATTGCCAGCACGCTTTCTCCATCACATGAAAACTCTAGACCAGGGGTTCTCAACCATGGCGTCTGCCGATCGTTTAACGTGTGCCCCCGCTGTGCAATCACAATAAAAATGTTTTAGTTTTCAATAAAATTCTATGTAAAAGTTTTCTCATTTTAAATGAAATAGAAATTGCGTCCACCACAGATACCAGCACAAAGCAAAATGCGACGAATCTCTTTTTTTTTTATATGCACTCTATCCAACTATAAATTCATCTTGAAAAAGTAAATGATGCTCGCCGTCCAACAGATATTCTAGAATGTGCTCTTAGGGATAAAAGGATTGAGAACCCCTGCTGTAGGCTAACATTAGCATGCTCACAAATTATTCTTTTAGGTAGATTTTTCAATTTGTTCTACAGAAATTTATGAGAAAACATTTCCCATAGCAGTGAAACATCACATTATTCCTGCGTTAATAAAAAAGAAGCACTAGAATCGCTATAAATAAATAAAGGCAAATAATTTTCTTTGCTACTAATATGCATATTCTTACCTACTAATATGCAGGGAGACTTCGGACAGTGCTTCTGAATTTCTGGTTTCCATAGAGTAGTGGCATTGAGAAAAGAAGTTCTGTCTGTGACGCTGAAACACAGTAGGAATATATCCGTCTACAGAAATGGAAATAAAAAAAGAATGATGAAAAGAAATGCAACGGAAATGTGCAAATACTGAAACAGTAGGTAAAAGTAATCTTTCAATACTTAAGCATAAAAAACAATTTGGATTCGCTAATTTATGGCAAAGCATACTAAGGCTATCTACGTTTGAAGAGAAATGCTCAAGGGGAAAAAATTTAAATGGACACTGGCATGCATTTATTTTGCATTTGAAGAAAAACACGATAAGCCTCATCAAGTCAACATGCCTAATCATCGCGAACAGAACATGATGTTTGATTCCAGGTTTTAGCCATTCATCTACTTGCTTGTTTTGTATACAAGTACATGAAAATTGGAATGAATTTTGTATGAAAATTACTTATTTTCTAATTTCATACAATATGATGTGCTGAGATTTGTATAATTACTGAGAGAAACACGATGACCTTTTTTATTTTTTCATTATATTACATACTTTTAATAATTTTATAAATTTTTGAATCCCATTTTTTTATCGTTTGAAATTTAGTATCAATATGAAAAACGTTTAACAATTTTATATCTATATCAAATCTGGCCGTTAAGACTAAAATGTATACAGATTATTTGAAGAATCCCATTTAGCGATAGAGATTTCCTTTTGTAATCTCAACATATAATAAAAGAAAGAGTCTGTTTGGGTGGGTGTGTCTTTCGTTCGTGCTTTGCGCGTAAGCTAATAGACTCAGGGCTACGACATTTGGTACACAGGTGCATCTAGACAAGAACCAGTGCACCTCGAAGCGATTTTTTCAAAATTCGAATCAGATTTTTTTTTTATTATTATTTTACCTTTTTTGATGAAATCGCGTCATTTTGAAAAGTTTCATTCTTTTAGAAATGTGGTTTTGCCAACAGTTTTTCATTCAATGCTTTGTATACTGGAATGCTGACTGTTGAAAATATGAGATAAAATATTACTTATTTCATGCTGCTTATTTTCTTTTGAATTTTGGACACGCAACAAGCACATCGCAATCTTCCTATTCTGACGCTCATGTGTCTCCGCGAGGCACAACAGAAAGAATTTCCTTTTTTTCTTTCTCTCTCTTTATTAGCTAATGGAAAAGAGGTTTGTATATTTTGGATTATGTTATCCACAAAGCACAATTTTGATTGGTTATTGTTTTTGATGATAGTTCCATTCTTTTAGAAATGTGGTTTCGGCAACAATTTTTCATTCACTGCTTAGGATACTGGACTGCTGACTGTTTTCTCTTGAAAATATGAGATTTATTGCTTATTTCGTTGCAATTTTTTTATATTATGTTTTAAATATATATAATTTAATTATATAAAAAAATTTGCATGATTTTTTTAATGAAACAAAGTTTTTAACTTCTTATATACCATTTGCATTCTTAAGATTTTGCTACAGGAAATTGGTTAATTTATTTATTAGGATAATTAATATTTGTATTAAGGGATATTGCTTATTTCATTGTAACTTTTTTAATATGTCATTCATTTTTATTGATTTTTTTGATAAATTTGTTCTGCAGAGTAAAATTCTGGAATTAGTTCCGATTCCTCTTTCCGCGTTTTTCAAAATTCTTCCTGTTCCCGCGAAATCTGAGTCCCCCTCGCTCAGTTCCTCAGGGGTTGTCATGATAAGTCATTAAGAAAAGCTAGACAGTTTTTTTTTTTTTTTTTTTTTTTTGTGAATACGTTAGTCTTCATCTTGACATTACGTTTTAGTTTAGGCTCCTCTCGAAATTTTTAGTTTCATTCTATTTGTAATTCTGTGTAGCTAATATTGTAAATATTATCTGTTATTTTCACATCTTACATTAATCAATCTTTGAAATATCCACCGTCACAATAAACCAAAGTCACTTGATAGCTGCCTTAAAGAAGTTGACTCTAATTGAATTCAGTTACAATTGTTGAACCAATGCTTCCGAAGGTTTTAATATTGCGACCATAGGAATAAATTTAATTTAATTGCGAGCCGCGTTTAGAGTTGAAATTGCAAGTGACTCACAAAGCATAGTTTCTCTTAAAAAAGAAGCTAGAGGAATAGGAGACTTAGAAAAAGAACATTGAAAAATAAAATAATATTAAATAAGTTGATAATAATTAGCAATTTCATTATATATACATGTATGTATAAAACTGAATTATTTAAAATATACTCCATAACTGAGGTGCATTTTCTATTATATCCACCTTTCTTTTCGTAACGAATATTTATTCTGAAAGATTTTATTATAACTCACATTTATGCAGAATTTCGGAAGAATATTATTTTTACTTTAGGAAATTTAATCTTTTAGTTTATTGACACAATCAGCGAAGAGGTTGAACATCTCTCTGTCCCCTTTTTTAATACAGTATTAGCTTCATTCATGCAAAGATCTAAGATCGTAAATATTTTTCGATTATTTCTTTTAAAAATTCCTTTTTTAAATCTAAAATTTTTTGACTTCCTACAATTCGGGAGAGGCGGAGGCCCTGTCGGCCCCCCCACTATGTAACCCCTTTGGGAAACCCTTTGATTCCGCGGAAACAGGGACATCTTTGACAACTGAAGAAACAGGAACCAAAATTCTGGGCAGGTTTTAAATTTAATGTTTGGTGTTCCCTTTAGGCATTTTTACGGTACATTTAAAAGCCAGGCCGCGTAGCGGCTGGTGTTTGAATATATTATTATTTCGAAGCGTTTTCTCGTTTTTTTATTGCTTCCTCAAAAAGCAAACGTTTACTAGAAACTGCAGCCTACCAATGGCCAAATGGCTATAGCCACAATGTAGTAGTAGTAATTGGGTCCGGCTTCTAATCCAGCCACCTTACTGCTACATAGGAGTTTTGGGGATTTTCCCGCGAGTAACATGGCCATGAAGCACTTTCCTTCAAAAGGTTCTACACAAAGACATTTCTTCTAAGGTAGATAGATAACTCTAATTCTCTGTGATTCTAAGGTAGATAACTCTTGTTAGTAAAATCTGTATGTTTCGCGTGCGTACCGCCCAGATGGAAGTACACTGCTGGCCATTAAAACTGCAACACCTGGAAGGAATGATCTGGCGAATGTCGAAATCACATGAAAGGAAGAAGAGGTTGGGATATGCAAATGATTAGTATTTCAGCGCATTTAGACGACGCAGGAGGAAGAAACGGCATCTGAAGCATTGCATAAACGAAAAGGTATGTAGTGGATTTTTCAATTCGGAAAACGCTGTGTAAAATGAGAGTTTGCTCAGAATATTGTGTTATGCATCGAATAAGAAGAAATGCTTACCAGCAAGTGTCGGAATTCGATTCATCCGAAACATAGTTTACGGAAAGATAAAATCACAAATGGAATGTCATTATACATAGAGAAAAAATTTTTCAAAGTTACCATTAGCAGAAATCGAAGAATTAAAAGAAAATTTTATTAAGAAATATCGATATTCTAATTTTGTAGGTTTTCGAAGAGCTTTTATAGCACACTTTATAAAAACTTTTCAAGAGAAAAGTTTTTATGAGAGTAAAATTATATTCAAAGGTTGCATGAAAAAGTTTTAAGGCTGACTCTGTATCCTTTTTCAGATATTTACCATGAGAATCCTTTGCTGCGGTTAGTCTCAAACTGGCGGCCCCGAAGCAAATTTATGCGGCCAGCGAAGAGATTTCAATTACGTATTCGTTGTAAATACGGTGTTACAAAGACTTCAAGACCAAGTTCATATTATTTTGCTTTGTTTAGGAATATATTTACATGCAAATAATTGTTTTTCATAATTTCGTTTATTCAAATTACGGCAAAGTACACTAGGGCTATCTGCCTAAGGGAAGGGATACCTCTGTGGAGGACTTTCTAAGGGAAACTGGCTCGTGTACATGTTACACATAGAGAAAACCACGAAAACGCCCATGCAGCTAGCCCGTTCGCAGGATTCGAACTTCGGACCGAACTACCAGTGTTAGCGACGTTACCGCTCGGCGCTTCCCCCCCACCCCACGGATGAAAATTTATAAGGAAAGAATCCAATGGACCGGAGCATCTAGAAATCCGTGATGAAGGTTATTTCTAGTAATTTCTCTCCAAAGATACAAACTTTGGTGGAATTACAATTCCCTCAATTGTTTAGCTATAGTAAGAAATAAAGAAGTTTGTAATTAGTGACACATAAGCATATGTATTTTTACTTATGCGTTAAAGAAAGATTTAATAAATAAGAGACTAAGTTGCTATTATTTATTCTCAAGTTTCTTCCCACTTAGTAAATTTTCTCTGAAAACTTCATAATTTATTTATTTTTAGGTTAATTTAAAGTTATTTGATAATTAATTAAACGGTACTTACTTATTAATGCAACTACTTTGGAGCAATTCGGCGACTTTTTACAGGTGAAATAGTAAAAGTTACATATTGAATGCAAGTTGATGGCTTTAACGATTATTTTTTTTAAAAGATTTCTAAACTATTTACATTTATCGTATTAACAGACATTATCAGCATATAAAAAGCCAAAATACTTTAAAAATTTAAAATACAAATTTTAATTCTTAGATAAGGATTACGGAATGAATTAAAAAATAAAACACATTCTTCACCAAATCAATTCATAATTATCTTGCGATATTCTTCCTTCCAGCAATCATAATCCTCTTTCTGTGTATTTAAATGGATGTATTTTTTAATCAACGTATAAGGTTATTGTTTAAATTAACCAGGTATTTATATTTCAGCCTTTACTATATCTTCTGCTTTCCGTTTCCTCCTTCTCCTTTTCGTTTCCTCTCCGGAAATGTAAATGGGTTAAAAAGCATTTAAGTTGAGTTTTTCAAACTGTAAGACAGAGCGTGTTCCTGGCTCTCCAGGCTACGTTGTATTAGTTCTGCCATTCCTAACAAGTTTGTAATTATTCGGCTTTGCGTTGACAGCTGCCGACATTTAAACTGTTATTCCGGTTGGCGTTTAGAGACAACTTCAATTTAAATATAATTGTGCAGTCTTTGACTATTAGCCTACACTTTAACTTACATTTGATTGTTGTTTAAGTTTCATAGCCCCAAGTGGTGGTTGTTTTGTTAAGCACAAGGCATACATGCTCTTCTGTTCAAAGCTTTGTTAAATGAAATGTTTGTTTTAAACCTTTTCAAGTTCGTTTCAGACATAGCAATAATTCACTTAATGTCTATTAAGAGTTTCACATTAGTTTATGCTTCCAAGGAAAGTCAATCTCTATAAACGTAAATTAATTAAATAATAATAATTCACAACATAATAATACACATTTTAAATTTGAAATCTGTTTGTTAAATTAAAAAACGAAAGCATGTAAATAAATAAGAAGCAGAATTTTACATAACCTTAAAAAAATAAGAAAAATGATTCACACGGTTGGAGTTCCGGACGAATTTGTTCAATTAAAGACTCCTTCCCATAGCAACCCATCATTATCAAACCTAATTAAAGTTGTATATATTTTTAAATACGGATGAAACAGCCTTTATCTTCAATATTTGATACGGTTTCATTGTGATTTTTATCAGGCCTTTCCTCGGTATTAGCATTCTGAGCTGGCGCAAAATATTTTATTTTCATTTGGCGACTTCTGCAGATAAGCCGCCAAAAATCGCGCAGTGTTTCTTCAAATGAAGCCTTAAAAACAATTCTGCACATTCTTTGAGTTGCGGTAATCTGGGGAATTTTCCTTCGATTAATCTGTACCCATACGCAAAGATGAGTCATTTCATATCAGGGGATAAGATAAGAGATGACTTACCTGGTCATATTGCAACGAACGGATGAGGTCGTCTTCCTTCTGGTTGTATACTCGATCCCACATGGTCAATAACACTGGATGGCCGGAATAGTTAATTGGTTTGCTGTACACGTAGTCTTCGTCCGACAGATAACTGGAAGCAAGGGCAATATGATAAATGACTAAAAAGTGCAATCACAGCTTTCGTAGAATGAATACTTCTGTAGAAATTTAAATTCCAAAGATAATCGTCGGTCTCAGAGAAGAAAAAGAACACCTGAATACGTAACCAGAAACGATACGTAGATTTTAAAGGTGCATATGGCAAAAGAGAAATGTGCATTTTTTATCACATTCGAAATATTTCTTAAGCTTTATGTGAACTATATTACTAAAATTTAATTTTTAATTTAAAATTTGAAGCGTTGTGTTGATCCTATAACTTCGAATTTTACTGAAAGAACAAAATTATTTATAAATTATATTAAAATTATTTATAATAATGTACAATAAATGTTAAATAAGGAAATTTCATGCGTTTCTTACAGGACATTCGTGAACTTTAGCTACAAGTTTTTATTTCTTTCTCTATGGATATTAAGCACTTGCTTTCACTTTATGCTTTAAATAAGGGCATAATGAGAATAGCTCCAATATTATTAGACCGGTTCTGAAAATATAAAATTAAAACATTTTGTAATGCTGTCACAAAGCGAAAGGCCCAGACAGAAAAATGCTCAGTCAGCAAATGCCACAACTTGAAAGCAAATGCAGTGAAATAATCGTAATCAATATTTCCGTTACAAAGTTAATAACAAGCATTGTTTTAATCAACGCGGAGCAATTAATTGCCAAGCAATCGTTTTTCCTTTATAGTTTTCCCGTATAATATGATAAAAAATGGAATATTTAGTTTCGATTCAAAATACTTTGTGAAAGCAAATCTAAAAGTTAGTAAACTGATTTTCTAATACAATTTTTCTTAATCTTTTTGATGAGTGAAACCCTTTTTAATGTTCTTTTTTTTATCTTAAAGTCCCTGGTTATTTCCAATAGTACGGTTTTAATGCAACATTCTATAAACGGAAATTTTGCAACAAAATGACAATTACTTCAAGTAATATTTATTTGCTTCAAAAAGTAATTTCAAAAATTAATCCGAAAAACGTATTCAATTTTAAAGAGATAAGTGTCATTACTTTTTATTACCGCAGGTATACTTAATATTAGGCTTTTTAGATGAAAGTTGAATTCTCATGTCAGGTTCGGCATCAAGTCTGTTGCGGATTAATTTTTTGTTGATACATACAGCTGAAAACTTTTCATGTAGCTGCAAATGATTAATGTTCCTCCACGGCATTTTTGACATTCAACTTTTAACAGCACCAGAATTTCATTAACGGTATTGATTAAATTTTTCTTGCTACGATGAACATATCATTTAAAGTTTCATATTCTTCTGTTGACAGGTTCGAAAGTTGTGCATCGACCATAAATGGGTTTTTAATCCACAATTCATTTTGATCTTTTGGAAAATACTGTTTAAAAGCTTTACTCAAACCCTTCGGTTGCTGAATAAAATCTTCAATATCTCCCCTATTTCAACCCTTTCTTTTGTAATGCCTTTAACTGTTGGGAAGAAATCAAAATCCTTGGCGTACACACAAATTGTCAAAAATTCTTTTTCTTGAAAGCAAGGATTTTTTCATGGGCAGTCAATACATTTACTTATTTGTCCTGAAGTGCACCCTTTAAATTTTAATGAAATGTTCATCTAGCTTTGTAAAAATGTCGCTTAAATAGGCAATTTTAAGTAGCCAGTTTCTATCAAATAGTAGACTTTTCTATTCGAAATTGTTTTCGAAAATAGAACAAAACACGCACTCGTCCCTTAGCTCAAAAATATGGGTTAGTATCTTTCCACGAGGTAACCATCTGACTTCAGTATATAAAAGAAGAGATCTACGTACTTTTCCGGTGTCCTCACACAGTATTTTGAATAAACTATTTAGTGTCCGAGATTTAACGAAGTTAATGCCTTTCACCTGCCTATACGTTATGCAGTGGTTTCTAGAACACTTTTGGGTAATATTTTCAATAAGCTGTACAGTCCAATTAATTATGTCACTAATAACCTTTGCTCCATAGGTACAGAGAGTTGACCCATGATATCTGTGTGTATAATAATCGAAAAATAAATTTCTGTCTGCTACCCTGGTTGGATTTCTTTATAATTTACATTACGGTGCCCCAGATGTTGTGTTTTTTGACATCTAAAAAAAAATCCTCTATATTTCTAGATCTATAAGATTTCCCATGTGTATCGAACAATAAAGAAATGAGCCGAAAGAAATGATGGTGAGATTCCAGATGATTCCCCAGTGCGGCTGCTACAAAATACTAATATTTGTCCCTAGAGCGTCGTTATAACCCGCGACTTCGTATTGTCGGATTTGCATCAACTATCCAGATTAAGCGAGGATTAGTTCTTCTATTTTTTTAAATTTAATACAGGCGTTAATTTTTATAGCCTTTTTTTGCAAGTTACTTTCTTGGATGTTATGAAAAAAGCACATAATTTCACAGAACCTTTCAGTAATATCCATGGAACCCCAACGTTCCGTGGAACACAGTTTAAGAAACACAATTTTAATATATCTCACAAATTTTGGATATAGCATTTAAATAAGATAAAAATTTGTTCAAGTAAAATATTTTATATGAGAACTTTTTTTTTATTTTTTTGTCCCATAGATTTCAGTTATACTGAAGTACGGCAGAAGGATAATATGCAGTCTTGCTTATCACGTACAGTAGAATTCCAGTTACTCGGAGTACAAATATCCAGTCTTCCTTATCTTTATTTCATTTAGTTTTTTTCCCCTTGCTTAAACCAAGATTACTTTTTAAATTTATTCATATACTTTCAATTTTCCATGAATTTAAATCACGTAAATGTATAATACAGTACATCAGTACATATATTACATACAGTGTACTCTCAATTTTCCGAGCTCATGTTAGAGAACCAGGGTCACACGGATAACCTTAAACTATCCATTTCCATGCATATTGTCGTGCTTATTTCTTAAAAATGCAATTTTACTTTGTTTTTGAGAATGTTTAAATATTTGCCGAATTTCGCTGCTTATTTTTCGAAGTGCTGTGTTATCATTGTATTCGAATTACCTTTGGTCGAAAACGTCCAACTGAGTTTCAACAGAAGCCATTGCTGTTTCGGGGCTAATGTAACTATCAGTATCTTCTTGGCTTGTATTTTCATTATCACTCTCTGCCTTTTCTATTCTTGTGACATTTGAAACGATATCCGCATCATTCAAGCATTTAAAAGCCCGGCTCATTCGGACAGCCATCGAACCACTGCTCGATGTTTTCTCGATCGACAATTTCGAAGAATGTTACGTTTTTACTTTTTCAGTTTACAACTTCGGTTATTACCTCGATTTCTTCACAATTAGATAAATCTCCAATTTATGTATTAAGAAGAATTTTTCTCCATGATCGAACCAGTGTTTCTGGTTTTACTTTCGACCAAGCTTTTGCTAGTCCGTATATGGCATCCAATACAGTCAATGTGTTGAAGAACATGAAGTCATCATTATCTTCAGCAAGTTATGAAAAGACCAGAACTGTAGAGTCGTCCCATTGATGATATTACACCTTGGCCCATCGGTTGAATTAAATTAGTGACACAACTTGGACTATGCATATGTATAACGAATTGTACGAGGTAATCGTTAAAACTTAATCTAAAGACGTAGTTCGGCGGTTTTTAGAGCATGCTCGGACTTGCGATTTTGTTTTTTACACAATCTCGAGCATAGCGTTGAGTGTGCGTGGTGGCCACCGCCACGCCCGGACAACCTGCACCAGGATAATCGTATTTTAAATTATACCTCTTTTTATATATATATATATATATAACTCATCTTGTTTCATCTTTTTTTTTAAATTAAACTCAAAACATTTTGGAGCTGCCAAGCGTAAAAATTTAATATTATAAATCAGATTGTTCATTTTACTATTTTTTATCGATAAAAATAATTTGTCAGCTTAATCTTAATTGAAATGAAGCAACTTAAGCGTTCATTTTAACGCATATACCTAAACAAAAACTATTTCTGTCAATAAACACTTTGAAAGAAAATTCTACGACCTCAAAATTTGGCGTTTTAGAGTATGTTAATTCCACGCAGAGAATTGTGCACTTATTTAATAAAGTGAAGGTTTAATTATTCAACAAAGCCAATTGTGCGTTTATTTCACTGGATTCTTCAAGGCATGTTTCAAAGATTTTTTCTAATTTGTAATATTTTTGTTTTCTTAGGACACCAAATTCACTTTGTGAAAATACTAAATACTTTTTCGAAATGCTTAATAAATGAAAAATAAAATCCTTAATTAAATTTTAATTTAGCATTCAAGCAAATGAATATAGTACTTTCTATTTAATATTCTGAAGCAAATTAGCTTTCATAAAGGAAAAAATAATGCGACTAATTTGAAAATTCCGATTCTATACGATTTACATGCACAACAAATTAACATTTAGATTTTATTTGCCATTTAACATTTATATTTAACATTTATAACTAACGTTTATATTTTTCTGACCATTTTTTCCAATTTATTTCAAATGAATTTCATGCAATTTTTCTACAACATATTGAAATTTTATGTAATTTTTCTACAACACATTTTCGTAATAAATTATTTTTATAGCCCTTACTTATTTATCATAAAGTTAAATCTGGCTTTTCAAATGCGTTTATATAAGTAAATAACAGTAAAGTCCTTCACAAAGTGTTGATTTTGTAGAGTAAAATTTAGAATAGAATTTTTCTTTTCATATTACGGAGACTATATTTTTTATTTTCGGAATTTCAGTGTACTAAATGTTAATTTGAAAGTCAGCAGTATTTTAAAATATTTTACGGAAAGAAACATTTTTATAAAAATGTAAAATTAAAATTAAAAAACTTCTTAATAAAATTACTAAATAATAATTAATACTTTATAAATTTAAATCTAATTAACACTTTAATAATAATTAATACTTTATAATAAATAGCAATAGTTAATACTTTTTAATACAAACTGCATAAACATGATATAGAAATACTATTTTTAAGAAATACTTTATAAATTTAAATCTAATTAACACTTAATAATAATTAATACTTTATAATAAATAGCAATAGTTAATACTTTTTAATACAAACTGCATAAAACATGATATAGAAATACTATTTTTTAAGAATTAAATTAAGATAAAGGAGCATTTTAAGGAATGTTAAATTAAAATAGCCACGAAAAGTGAAAACTGGATACTTTTTTTTCTCTTCAGTCCATATGCATTAAAAAAAACTTATGCAATCCACAGAGTTGGAATTATTTCAAGTAACAGAAAATAAAAGGAATTTTACTCACGGAAATACTGTGGAGACGTATTCACCTTGAGGGAAGACCCCGTGGGTGTATGTCTTAAGGAGAGAAGTTTTCCCGACACGCTTGTCTCCTACAACAGTCAGTTTTAGATTCCGAGGTGGAAATCGTTTGCGCATTTTACAGCAGAAGTCTGGAAATCAACTGGAAGAGCAAAAAAAATAGAAATTTATAATTTTTTTTCTTTTTTAAATTTTTAGAATAAGCGCATTTATTAAAATAGAAAGTAATGAACTCTGTCCTCCCATTCTCTTTTCAGCTGATAAGAGGTCTAATCTCTAAACGATGGGAAATTAATAGCCATCTGTTCATCCTTTCTGTGTTCAAAAAATGTGCTTCCACTTTCAGGTATTCATAAAGGAAGATAAAAAGGAGTGCATCACAAACTGTTTACAATATTCTTTGCATTTTGACTAATTTTTCTCTCGGTTCTTTCAGTCTCTCGATTCATGAGTTGTGATGCTTGCTGGTAAATAACGAAGGCTTGAATTCGCGCTGTTTAACTCTGTTCGCCCTTTTTAAATACACATGCTAGAATTTGTGTTGACATCTTATTGTTTTCAGCTCTTGGATTTGGCATCCTAGCAAAACAGATGGTTTGGTTAGATTTATTTAATTATGGCAAAGCACTCGAAGGCTATCTGCCTAACAGGAGCGATGCTTTCTCGGAAGACTTTCTAAAGGGAAACTAGCTTGTATATATATTACACATGAGGAAAACCACGAAAAAGCCAGTATCCCGTTCTCTGGCATTCGAACCCCAGATCGAACTACCAGTGTTCAGCGACTTTACCGCTCGGCTGCTGGTGGGCCCTGGCTAAATAGAAAGTATTGAACCTGAGAAAAATATCTTTTAAAAACCTCCTGTGCAAGAGATACAGTAAAATAAACGCATTATGTTTTGAATAATTCTCTTATTAAACAAGTGTACAAATCTATCATCAATGTTAATTTACAGGGAAATAATGTGATAGAAAAATCTTTTTATTTTTCATTTTGAAAAGTTGATTTTAAGTATAAGGTTTTATATTCTGTATCTTTAATTTCTGGGAGTTTAAAATTAGTAGGCCTATCCTAACTGCTTAATCTTCAAATTGCTTTTTTATAATCTCTTTTTTTTCCTTTTTTCTTAAGATTTGCGACTGTTTGGAAACTTACTGACAGATCACATAGCCTGGAAATATCGAAAAAACTTTCAAAATATTCAGGTGTATTATGATAAAACTCCATATATATATATACACATATATATATATATGTACTAGTTTATTATTACGATAAGATACTCAGATAGTCTGTAATAAAAAAACCTTTAAATTTTTATGTTTTGATGACAATAACATCAATAGCTTCCTGCATCTCGTAAACTGATGCACGCACAAACAGGTGAGTCATTTCCAAACAGAGTACATAAACAAGTTTTGATGATTACATTATCATTCTGTATTTTCACTTTCTATTATTTTGTTAGCAATTTTTTTTTTTTTATTTTTTATTTCGTCCTTTTTACTCTATTGTAAGCATGCAGTATTTAATGTGGATTTTATACAAATTAGGCATTATAATATGTTTATGTTATAAATAAGGTCAGTAGTGCGTTGCTAGTAATTGCATTTTGAAGAAGATAAAAAAAGTTATATGCAGATCATCGATAACCTTGGTTTGTCGGCGCCTTCTCATGCCAAAATTTCCGTGTTGTTTAAAATTCATCTGCAATCCATTTCTAAAATTTGGTGTATATATATATATATATATATAGAATTATTCAAAACATAATGCGTTTATTTTACTGTATCTCTTGCACAGGAGGTTTTTAAAAGATATTTTTCTCAGGTTCAATACTTTCTATTTAGCCAGGGCCCACCAGCAGCCGAGCGGTAAAGTCGCTGAACACTGGTAGTTCGATCTGGGGTTCGAATGCCAGAGAACGGGATACTGGCTTTTTCGTGGTTTTCCTCATCAAAAATTTGGTGTATGCAGTATAAACGGTTTCTTTAATTTCCAAAGGAAGAATTTACGGAACTATTTATTTATTTAAGAAAGGTATTGCTACGTCTTTTTATTTAAAGAATAAGATTAAAAAACTGCAGGCTTATCCTTGAAATTCCAGTTTATTACCTGAAAGGTATCATCAGCTGAAATCCTTGGAACGTGAAACATGCAGGCCCATTTGTTGTTTGGTTTTTGATGTTATTGAGAGTAATACTTAGAAGAAAATGTGGTTGCCTACCGAAGAAGCATACTTGATGTCAGTGACTCATAAGTTTTAATGGTACTTTCCTTGAACTTAACAAAATATGTGAACAGAGCAATTAAAGAGAGATTAATTAAAGAAATAGCCTTTGTGATATGGGAGAAAAACGTAAGATGAATAAAGAATAATTAACTTGACTGGTAATATAAACTGCTGGCGTGGAATCTACTTGAGCATTACATTAGGTCGAGCAGGTATTTGGTTGCAGCAATTCCAAGCGTAACTTACTGTAAATGCTGCCAGGGGTACTCTGCTAGATTTTTACTCTCGTTTTAGTCTTTGACAGCTACACTTCAAGCCACGATTCCATGCATCAAATCGCCGCACCCACAATGGAGAAAATCATGGCTCCTGACCACGTCGATAACCAGCACGATACACAGCCCAGATGGGCACATCGAAACGACACACAGTCTTCGCACATTTCTACCGCTCCTTCTTATATATAGCACTAGATTTTTGATCTCTTCAAGTACTGCAGAGACGCAAGGGGGAACTGAAATTTCTCAACGTAGTTAATTGTTAAAATCGAATTATTTTTAATGCATAAATATTTCTTTCAATATTATTCTTGTATGATGCATAAGCTATATTCCCAAACCAAGTTATTTTTGGGCTATTTTTAGAATAAGAAACATTTTTTGATGCACATGTATAATATATTAGTTAACCAGAAGTTATTCAGACTCTAAATTCTACAAACCAAACGAATTTGAAGAAACACAAACAAAAATAAACCAGAAAAAAATTTGGCTTTTCTTTCCTGAATAATAATAATAAAATAATTAAAAAACTGCTATTAATATAAATAAAAATATCTGTTTTTGCAATATAATAAAACGAAATCTTAACTGTTAACATAAAATTTTAAAATATAGAAAACAATGTAGACGATTAGCATTTTTTTCTTTTCACCGACACCGCGGGACAGCCGATCCACTTGGGCAGTTCGCTTATTGGGCATGTAGCCCCTCTGATGGACCTAACTTTTTTTTTTTTTTTTTTTTTTTTTTAAGCAGGAGTGGGGAGAAATTAGCAGTGGCCTCACTCACCGGAACTCAAACCTGGATCTCTCGAATAAGCGCCGAGTGTGCTACCGTTACAACATGAAAGCAGGCAGAAAGAAGTGAGAAAATACCTTATATATTTCCCCTTTTAAAGGGCGACTGGGGATTACGGGTCCCAATTGCAAAATTATGGTGGTGAAGAATCATCATCCACCACCTTTTTAGTTCAGGCGCCACTATACAGACATCAAGAATTTTGAGAGAGGAGACGTGAAATTGAGCAATGCCCTCACCTGGAATCGAACCCTGGACCTCTCGAATACGCGCGAGTGTGCTACACTCATACCACGAAGGCATGCAGAAAAGAGGGTGGAAATACCTTATCCTTTGCTTCAAATCTTCCTGAACAGTAGGACTATTTTTGATGAAGAGGCATATAAACTAATGTTTTCCAGGAAGCCTGCGGCTGCAGTCTGCTATGCTGCGACAACATTTCAACATGATAAACTTTAGTGCGTGTAAAAGTTTCTCCAGTGGTCGAGTAGATAGCACATTTAGCTGATAGTTCGCCCCGGATTTCTTTCCCAGCGAAAATACAAACTCCAGCTCCTACAACTCTATTTGCCCGAGAAAATTCCTCCCTTTCTTTATATCGAAAGGCCTCGTGTGCTTTGCTATAATCGATTAAAGAACGGAACAGCATTACCAATGCAGTTGGAAAGCCATCCATTTGACAACACATAAATTTGTTATTGAAAACAGTATTTTGATTTCAACTGAATGCCTTTTTTTCTGCTGTGTTTGGAAGATCTGAAATCCAAAAATATCTGAATAAAACTGTAAAACAATATGCTTATAATTTCAGGTCCGGATAGTTTTCATTAATCCCGATTATTAAATACATTGTGTCTACAATTATTTATCCATACGTTACTGTCAAAATAGTCTAATCAGATTCTGAGATGAAGCAGTTATTCATAAATACATCAAACTCTTATTTATAACAATTATATTCATTTGTATCCAGAGAAAAACAAACTGAAATACAAAGCATCATTTGAGATTTTAACTTATTTAAAGAAATAGCATTGAATATGTAAGCAAGTTCTTTTCATTATAAATCACTATGTGCATGCATTTAGGTGATAATGCCAGAGTTTGTTAATGATAGATTATGATACACATGCCCTTAATATGCAATAAAAGCCCTGACAGGGCCATAGATTGATGATTTCTTATTCCTAATGATTCTAGCTACCTAATATACGCGCGTTTTTTCCTTTTTTATAACAATCAAGCAGAATATTATTGTTTGTTCTTATTTCGTAAGCAAACACATTAAATTACTTAAAGATCTAATACATTAAAGTCTGTAAATAATAAACATAACAAGACTTACGGAGAAATGTGTCAGCGTGTGAAGGAAATTTTTCCAAATGACAGAATAAGCATCAAGTCGTTATCGGCTCCCAAGTATTGGATAAGATATATCAATACGGAGAAAACCCTGATTCTTTTTTTCCAACTTCCTGTTCTCTATAAAAATGGATTGCCCGTTTGCCAGTGATATCCATTAGTGACGTCAAGCTTTACTTTCAAGAGACTCTGGGCGTCACTGTAAAACGCTGAAGCAAATGACACTCATATGCAAGGAAATGAGCTTGTTAAGTTATTTTAGAAAGGAGGTTCCCTAGCCCCCTATGTACAACCCAACATCATGATGAAATTAATAAGAAAAGTAGACAGATGTTCATTCTAGTATTGGTTAAAACAGAATGGAATTAATCAAGGCATTTGCATAACAGTGCTCTATGCGTTATGGCTATCTTGAACTTTTCTTTCGAAAAATCCGTTTATTAATCATTGAAATTAGCATTAAACTG